CGCCAAGACCCAGGTCACGGCGAAAGGCAAACCCAGTCGCACGTTGCTGGCGCTCAATGCGGAACCTGCCTGGATACGTGAGGATGCCAAGATCCTGGGGTGTACCACGGTCACGGCTGGCAGACGGCGGGACAGTGAGTCGGAAGCGGAACGTCTGGAGCGGGCGGCTCGCAGGGCCTCTCTCCTGCGTTGCACTGGTCTCCCTTGGTATCAGATGCAAAAGGCCTTTCAATACTTTGTGGGCTCCATTGCAGGCTTCGGCTGGATAGGTAAACTGCCGACAAGGCAGGTGACCTCTTTCAGGCCTTCTCGCGGGCCACGAACCACCAGCATCGGGCCTCCAGTCCGCTGCTCCGCAGAGTCTTGTTCGGAGGGGCTCTGCACTTGCTTCGGGGCTCTTCGCACGGCTGTGCCGTCGGCGGAACCGAGGCATCGTGTCTAGCTGGCACAACAGGGCTGCATCCTCGGTCGGCCTCCTTCGACGTTGGCTCAAGGGGCAGGGTTGGTGCGAGACTAGGCCCTGGGTCTGGAGACACGGCAACGCACACAGTAGTGCCGAGGAGAGAGTGCTGTCGCTCGAGGCTCCTTGCTCCGCAGCAGTCCTGTCTCGACAGCTGCATGCTCTGCGCTACCAGTGGCGCGCACAGCACTTTCTGGATTGGGCCTTAGGAGACAGGCACGAAGCCAGAGACCTGGTGTCTAGAAGGGCCTCCTTAGGGACTTTCAGGCCATAGATCTGGAGAGGACTCGGCAGGCTCTCCAGCTCAGTGGCGCCGCCCGGGCGGTGCTGCTCGGAGCTGTTGTCTCCGACGCTTGGCTCTCCAGTTGCCCAACCGCTGTTCTCTTTGCGGCTTCAGTCCGGGCTCTTGGGAGCACCTTGCCTGGCATTGCCGGGCCGCTGGCTTGGACCCTAGACCTGTGTGTCCGGACAACCTCCTCGTGTCGAGGTTCGGCTGGCTCCGTAGAGGGCCTCGTGCTGTTTCGGATCGTCGTGTGCTTGTACACTTAGCTAACTGTCTCTCGGCCCTGTGGTCGACCAGACATGAGAGCTGAGTTGTCTCAGCTAAGAGCTGAAGAGTGGGCCGGCAGCGTCTGCCTGCCTTGCTGGCTCTGAGGGTCCTGTCCTCGCATGCTTGTTTGCTCGCTTTACCAAGGACCGATGGTTGGGAGCGTTGTGGCGCATCTAAGGTCCTGGCTTTGTTTTCCTTCCTCTTTCCCCTTTCCGTGCAGAAGACGTTTCTGGAGTCCCTGCACTACAACAACACTACTGATGTCAGGTGATAACGGCGATTTTTTTGAAGGATACGCTCGACGCCGCTCAGAATGCCGCCGAGCCTTTGGAAGCAAAGCAAACCTCTCCAATTGTTTTACTTCGAACATCCCCACCCTAGCGCCTTGTCCTTCCTACACGCAAATCCTAAGACCTAAAGAACCCGAGCCTAAACCTTAAACCCTGGTGTTCCCGAGCACTCCCGCGGGCCGCCACGCTGCACCCGACAACCCTCGTATTCCCAAGCACTCCCGCAGGCCGCCACGCTGCAGCCGAAAACCCTGGTATTCCCAAGCACTCCCGCGGGCCGCCACGCTGCGGCCAACACAGCAAGATTAGGGCTGATGTTTCACACGCGTTGTGATGGGGGTTTAGGTGCGGAACAAGTGTGTAAAATATGACAGAAGAGTACGTGTGGAATCTGCTTGTGACAAACGAGTCCGATGCATTCTGAATTAAGCCTCGAGGCTGCGAGGCCCCGGCAGATATCAAAGTTGGGATTGGGCACTCCAGGGATTCTCACGGTAGTCTGTGGGGTTGGGCACTCCAGGGATTCTCACGGTAGTCTGTGGGGTTGGGCACTCCCAGGATTCTCACGGTCGTGTGTGGGGTTGGGCACTCCAGGATTCTCACGGTAGTGTGTGGGGTTGGGCACTCCAGGGATTCTCGCAGTAGTCTGTGGGGTTGGGCACTCCAGGGATTCTCACGGTAGTCTGTGGGGTTGGGCACTCCAGGGATTCTCACGGTAGTCTCAGGGATTCTCACGGTATTCTCACGGTAGTCTGTGGGGCGGGGGACTCCAGGAGGTAATCTCAGCGGGCGTCGCGCCGCAGTTGACCTCTCTCCGGAGCACTTGTGCATGCTGCATGTGTACTTGCAGCTCGAATTTACGCACTTTCTGTACGAGGCTGCCAAGCATCCCGCTTTTCAGAGCATCCTTGTGAAAGGACCGGCTGCGAGCAGCGACCCCCCGAACCCTCTCCCAAAGCCCAGCCTCGAATGAGGGAAATGCTGGTGCGAGGCCCTACAGCGGAATCCGAATTATCTGCAGATTTCTTGTTTTTCTTGGGGATTCGGTTTTGTTTATGTGCTTTTTGCTTTCGTCTGCTTTTGCTTTCCTCTGCTTTTCTGCTTTTCTGTTTCTCTGCTTTTCCGCTCCTCTTGCTTCTCTACTTTTCTGCTTCTCTGATTGTCTGCTCGTTTTTCTCTTTCTTTAAAGTTTTTCTTGCGGCTCTTCCCTGCTTTCATATTCTTTTTTTTTCTTTTGATATTTGTGCTTTTGCTTTCCTCCGCTTGCTGCTTCTCCGCGTTTCTGCTTCTCTGCTTTTCCGCTTCTCTTGCTGCTCTGCTTTCCTGCTTCTCTCCTTTTAAGTTCTCGCTTGCTGCTTTTGCCTGCTTTGATTGCTTGTTGTTTTTACTTGTTGATTGCCTTCCTTTGCCTTACATTCCTTTAGCTTTTCAGCTTTTGTGCTTCTCTACTTCTCCGCTGCTCTGCTTTAATGCTTTGCTGTCTTGCTATTGCTGTTACTATTACTATTGGTATTACTGTTACTAAAAGAATACAATATCTTCTCCAACACGCAAAAGGAAATCCTTTGCGAAATCGCCCGCGTCCCCTCTTCGAAGCATGCCCCCTCGTTGCAAATAGGGGGGCTGCGCCCCGCCCGCCCCCCCCCGCTCTCTTAAGCCGTGAACAAATGAATGAACACGTCTTCTCCAACACACGAGAAGGAGAAAACGATACGAAAACGCTTCAGAAGAACATAAAATCATCACGAATGAAACGTTTTCACCGACGGACAAGAAGGCGAAAGCCAGACGTATTCGTTTGGTAGTGGAAAAGCAAGAAAACAAAGTAAAGTGAAAGAGAGTCTCTTGTGTATAGCGGACAAATGATTAAAGCGTCGTCTCCAACACATCAGGGGGTAAAAGCGATGAAAACAACGTCATTTTTGGAAGGTTTGCAAAGGGTATGCCCCCGCCCCCCCCACTACCCCCGGCTTGTTCGAAACTGCAAGTTTTGCTGCTTTCTCCCTCCCCCTTAACCCCCCCGCTTTGCTGAACTGCAGACCCTGCTGCTTTCTGTAAGTTCTACTACAGTTCGGGTAGCAGCAAAAGCAACAACAATGCTGGAATCGAGATAACGGCGTCACGAGCCAGTGCCAAGCCAACTTACGCTGGACTCGACACGACGGCGTCACGCAGGAACTGCCGGTGTGGCCGAGAACTGGAGCTACAAGCATGAGGGAATCTATGTTCGAGTGCAGCTGTGGCTCTACCTGGCGTCAAAGATTCCTTGGGACAGACCTGCGAGCAAGGCTCTGCTGGCGGCTGTGGTGTAGTAGCCCTTCATGTTGGTGCCGACATGTATGCCCATGCTGGCGTTGATCTGGAAGATGAGTGATGCTGCCTACAGTGCCTACAGTACTGCTTCGCAACTTTTGGGATGGTTTCCTGATGTACCTTTGCCGGGCTTCAGACCATCGGGGAGCACTTGGGATAAGCATGGCATGCCTGAGCCACGCACTGCATCGTCAGACAACAACTGCGACCGGGGGGCTTGACCTTCGTGGACTTCTTCGAGTTCTGAGCCGGGGTGAGAACTAGCAAAAAGATAACCAACAAAAGATTTTGAAACAAGAAAGTCAAGAGAAGAGAATGCCCCGGGGCGGCATGAATCCGGTAGGTTCCGGAAGCGGCATGTGCAACAGTGGCAGGTTGGTGTAGTCAGTGGCCTTAACGTAGTGTTGCATCTGTGTTCGAGGAGACTAATCTGCCAGGCTTTGCACTGGTAGCACAGGGCAGGTGCGCAGACCTCGTGGCTCTAACTTGCGTTGCTGATTTTGTCAGAGCGCACCTCCCCTGACTGGACAGCCCCAAACTTGTGCACTGTAGCCTCAGCACTGCTAGTCCTTAGAGCTTGGCCTTTTCGTGAAAGTCGACATTGTGTTGTAATTGTTTGACTATCTTGTACCTGCTACGCCGAACTATGTAGCTATGTCGCCCGTCAGCCACATGTTACCTGCCATGCAGTCGCCAGATTCGCCATGCGGGAGCCAAAAAACAACAACGACAAAACCAGTGACACAACAACAGAAGCAGCAGCAACAACGACGACAACGACAATAGTAACAATAACAACAACGAGAACAAAAAGGATGATAATAATCATAAAAAGAAGAAGAACAGCAACGCCGGCTTAAGAGTAACAAGAACAGCAACAGCAACCACAACGAAAGCAATAGCAACAACAACAGCAACAGTAATAATAGTAACAATAATACCACTCGTAATAATCGCCAAAATGAATAAATAGTACAATAATAATACAGTAATACATAACCACCAAGATTCATAATAAGGCTAACAGCAACCACAAGAAGAATAACCGTAACAACAACAGCACCAGCAGCAACAACAACAACCAATAACGTCGGTTTTTCTCAGGACAACAACAACCGAGGTAACGTAGGTTTTCGTCAGGAAAACTGAGGAAAAATCGAGGGGAATGGCACCAAATCCGTCAAGAACGTGAGGGAATTAGTGTTTCCCCCACCCGCAAAAGGAAATCCACCCCCTTCCCTCCCTCCTTCCCTCCCTCCCGTCCCCTCGGACCAAGCAAACGCACAAAAACAACAAACACTCCCCAAGAAAAACAAAAAATCCTCAGATAATTTTGCAGCCCCCTGCCTCCGTCCAAGCCCCTTAAATTCGAAGCCCTGCACGTAAGGAGCAGCTGGTTGTGGACAGAATGAACAAGAAAGCCAAATACGTGGAACAGCTGGAGGCTGACTTGACTTTGTGACTGCCGATGACTGCCGTTTCGGACATGAAAGCCTAGGGTCTAGGGTTCTGCTGAGCCGTGAGCCGGCGCCTGCCTGCGCACAACATGGCCCGATCGATGTGATATGATAAATTTCGAATTGTTTATTGCCATACAGAGTAATGACGTTACACGCGCGATTGAGATTACTCTGGCCGGTATTGCACGTGTGAAGGCGGCGGCTATCACTGCAACTAACCATCAGCAGGCGGTTATCATTGTAACCAGCATGCAGCAGAATCATGATGGCGAATATCGCTGCCAGGCTGTCTTCAAGGCCATTGATCAGCGTGGTATCCTGGCATGAAAGAGAGAGTTTGGAAAAGCGAGCTCTGTGAGCCTCGACACCTGGCAAGGAGGTCCAAAATTCTGAAGCTGACCCTACACCCTTAGGAAAGACCACCGCTTCTTTTCGGCGAGACCCGTGTTTCATGGTTAGTAGATCGGCAGGTCAAACCCAGCAAAGAGTGGAGACAAGGCCGTAAAGCCAAGCCTCCATACCCACGTGTACTGGTACCTGAAGAAGGAATCCGGAACCCGGTTCGTCGCTGCAGAGTCTTTGCTAGCGGGGTGTGTGCTAAAGGGCTGCCACAGCCGCAAGTCGTAGGCCTGGGGTCTCCTGTTTCCTTGGGTCCGAGCTTCCTGATACCATAGGTGTGGCATTCACAGGTGATGGCACGGTTACCGAAGAGAGGCTCAACGAGCTGCTCTCCCACCCACAGGCTGGCGAGTTTGGGTTGCGGCCAGAGCTTCGCGGGAGGATTGCACAGGTGGTCGCTTCGAAGCTTCAGGTTTTGTGTGGTGCTGCTGCTGTTATTTTACTTCGGCGACGGCTAGGGCTGGTTTGGAAGAAACACGGGGAAATGGATCCTGACTCGACCCCCAAGCCCCAATTCGGCCAGTGTTCGGAGGTTTTGGAACTTCTCAGAGTGTTCGGGGCGCTTTAACGAGGTGCAGAGCGTTGTGCCGCTTCGCGCGATTCGGGCGAGGTTTAGTTTCGGGTTTAGAGTTTCATGGTCAAGGTGGAATTTTAGGTTGCTTCGTGCAAAACCCCAAAGCTTCTCAGTCTTGCCGGGAGGTCGCGGCTTACTTCAACGTCCTCGACCTTGATGTGCAGGACTCTTGCACAGGGGTGTCAGCATGTGCGTCAAGCGTTCAGGGAAGAAGAGTTGCCTAGCAGCGGTGGATGCAAGGACAGCAGGTCTTGTCCAGTTCAGGTCATCGCGAAGATGGCACGACCGTTTCGACGCATTGCCCGAATCCTCCCGTCGGTCAGCCGAACCTTGATTGAATCAAAGTCCTGAGTCCCAAGTGACGAATCCTGCGAAGGAAACTTCCGTGTTTTTCCACATCATTGACAATGGTGATGGCGAGGCACAAATCCATGCTCGATGTTTCACCTAGCTGCAAAATTCTGCCTGGGTGTCGGGAGTGCTGTGGCAGATTGCAGGAAGGTTGGTCAGGACCTGATGGGACCTCAATATCGGGTTTGGCGTGGTTGAGCTTTTTCGCCTCCAGTCGGAAGCACCATCCTCTTGACGGTCGTTGGTAGTCTCGTCTGGAAAGCCGTGCCTCGCTGGGTCCTGGCGACAGTCGTGCATGTGGCACGGATGGCAGGGAGCTTTGGGGGCCCATCCCGTTGAGCCGTGGCGTTTGAGCTTGCTGGTCCTCAGCAACGAAACTTCCCCTTATGCCGAGGGCCTGCTGTCCCCGTCAGGATGTCCAGGGTTGACAGAGCAGCTGTGCATGCCATGCCCCCCATGTGAGTCTGGAGGTGTGGCTTTTAAAGTGCGTTTGAACTTAGCTGCAGCACATATAAATTTCCGAACTTTGAAAGTCAGCTCCCAGTGAGTTGTGCCACTGGGAGTCATTTCTGAAGCACCCGGCTTTTGGACAATCGGTTGCAGATTCAGTTTGAAATGTTCAGAGAGAGAGAGAGAGAGAGTCATCATTTCGCTCAGGCCTTCAGACGATTGCACAAGTCCCAATGCAAAGGTGACGCTGGACGAGTTCATTGATGGCATCCTCCGATGCAAAGGCCGCTGTTGCACAGTCAGAGGCACCTACCGTAAATCTGTACGATGCTCAAGGAGCAAGCATCGCAGCGACATGGTTTTGCGCGTTTGTCTGTCTGGTGTGCGTATGCGGGCCGTAGGCTTCCCGCACAGGCATCAACGGATTATGATGAAGCGTGTTTTGGTGGCGATGGCACATGGGTTGTAGAGGGTCGTGGGGTGGGCGAGCCGCACCGGCAGCGAATCTAGGTTTCGGCTGTAGTAGTTGTCATCGTGTTGAACCTGTGGGAATACATGGACTAGAGGCACAAATCAAGCCTGTGCAATTGCAGTCACCCTGTGAATTTCATGACTGGGCAACGGTGTCTATTCAGGGATTGATCTAGGTCCTTCTGCGTGCACACATGGTTCAACGATGAAGAAGTGCAGGTTTGTTGCGATAACGTACTAAATATCTGTGTCTATGCTTCGCAGATGAAGCCTTAGGATTCCTCATTCGGAGAGCTAGATGTGCAGGCAGAGCAAAACCAACACAGGTTGCAGGTTGTTCCATGCAGGAGGTTTGCCATTAGGGCTGCCCCTTGATTTGAGAGTTTGCTCCTGGAGCGTTTGAGCTATATGATGTGCATAGCCCAAGTTGTAGGCGACACAGACGCAAAAAAAAGCTGCAATGGTGCCCCGCGCACGCTTCACGCACGACGTGATAGAACCCGGTTTCTAGGAATTGGTCAGGCTGGGTTCAGGACAAGCTGTCGTGATCAAGGGCTATATTCGGGGCCATTGTCGCGCGGGAGACTTTGCGCAAACTTATGTTCCATTGGGTTTGGGGTTCCAGGTTGATGTGCAATGTAGTCCAGTCGGAGTCTCTATTCCCGAATATGTATATCTTCCTGAGAGAGCTGGCAAACAAACAAGCTTCCTGCCCTGCGAGTGCAAGCAGGTTGCGTATCGCAAGTATCTTTTCTCGCCTGAGCGCAGGCCTCTGGGGTAGATCTTAGATTCAACGTCACGGCTCAAAAACAACGAAAATAGAGTTAACGACCTCAACAACAAAAAACACCCACCCCTGTGGGTACGAAGGCGCTCCGCGCGCGAGTGTTTCTTTTTAGCTCGTGTGTATCGGCTGCCGTGTGCTGTGCTACAGTTCCAGTGACTCGCCGTGTGACCACTTTTTTTTTGCAGGAGTGGTGGACAAGTTCGCGACGTGCGCAGAAAATCTTTCAACGTGCCGACGGGGGTGTTGTGTGTTGGGCCCATAAACTTGCCAAGCCCTATAACATAACCTTGATCTCTGGTATCGCACGAGAAGCCAGTGGCAGGCAATGCCCGGGCAGTGGATTCCATGGCTATTCGGGCAGATCTGAACCTCGGAGACAAGGGGAAGAGGCACTTGGGTGAGGCAAAGGGCTCTATTCCTGCTTGTTCGGTTTGTGGGGATTTCAGAATTTAAGACTTGGGTCGAAGGATAACACGATGCCCCGACCACATATCCCCGACATCGTTGGCAGTTGTATTTTTCTTAACATCAGTTCGATTGTTTGCACGGCTGAAACAAGCTTCTGCCAGAGTTGGTGAATAGTCAAGCGGCGCTTTTTCGCTGCACGGCAGACAGCAGCTACTGCTGCTGTCTTGTGGTGGCGGTGGTTGTGGCGGAGGTGGATGCGGCGGTGGTGGTGGTTGTGCAATGACGACAACGATCGCTCTCAAGACGATTTCTGATGCGACGACAGCGACGTACAAGGGACGGAGGAGGAGCCACGACATTGACGACGAAGACATCGACGACGGTGGCGATGGAGTTGTTGGCGTTCCTTCCCCACCTTTGCAGCTGCCTATAGATTTCTGTTTCTTCTCCGAGACGTCTGTGCCGAAACCGGCAGCGTCGATTCTGGCGAGATAGCCTGTCCATGAGTTCCATCTTTGTCGAAAGTTTATGTAGCCGGCTGCAAGGCATACCCGGGACAAACTCATCTGGCGAAGTCCCTACAACACCACACCTTAAATTCGAAGGATTTCGTCAGACTTTGGCCATTTCCGAGAATCGGGACAGCTGCATGATGGGTTACATCATGCGGAAATGTAACAAACTGGCCACGCTTCCCCTTTTCCTAGCCTCGCTGCACTCAAATCCTGTGCCTCTGCAAGTATGAAGCCTTTACAGTACTGATCAAAGCAGACATGTAACAGTCAAGCGACTTACGGCGGTGGAAATCCGCGAAGACGCCGGTTGGAGATCGTAGTGACATGGAGTAGCTGCAACAAAAGCACCTCGATGTGGCAACCAAATTTCCCAATCGAGGAAGAAGCTGACGACCAAGGTGAACAAGATCCAGAGGCGAGACAGCTTAAGCCTTAAGCTTTCGGGTTTAGGGGCAAGCGTCTGCTCCCTGTCAGGACGTTGAAGCAGCGCAGCAGTCAGTCTGAGGCTGTCTTTTGAAAGTTTTTACATGGGAGCTTCCGAAAATTAGGGGTAGGTATTTTGGGGGTCCTTTTAATAAGGATCCTACTATTCAGGGTACCATATTAGGGTCCCCTATTGTCGGAAACTCCCACGTGGCCAGGAAGCCCGAGAGGGCGGAAGCTCAAACAAACTAGGTTGTTATGGTCGCGTCGAAGGAAGCTTGTGGCGCGTCAGGGGTTGCAGCAACAAAGGTTGGTTTGGTGTACTGCCAGTTTTAACCCAGGAGAGGAGCAGTGGTGCCTACCGAATCCCATTTTGCAACCCATGCGGCGCATTCGCAGGCGCATCCTGCACAAAACAAGCGCCTCTACTTGTGCATGCAGGGCGAAACTTTTTGACTAGTGTTCGGCGCGAGGCGAGACTCTGGCAGGCCCGAGCTGCAGCGTGGTCTTTGGCTACTATTATATCGCTTTAAACCCTACGCCCTCGAGATCCCTCGAGCACAAGTCTGAAGTTTCGTTGGGCGGAGAGTTCGAGGAACGCCGGAGTGTTGCCTTGCTGAATGCATGTCTGTTTTCCTGAAACTCGCACATCACCGCGAGGCTTAGCGAGGGCTTCGACTGTTCGGAACTCACAGAAGTCGGCACATGGCGGTGCTTGCATACGTGAGTGTCGGGCTCCCGACCCAAGACCCAAAGTGGTAGGCTATACGACGGTCACATCATGTCGTAAATTTCGGAAGCTCCTCTGCAGGTGCCCGCTTCAAGTCGCAATTTTGAACCGTTTTGTAGGAGTAGGAGCGGTAAAGGATGCCGGAGCGGTTTCACCCCAGTCTTTTGTTGCGAGTTTGTGTTGGAAACCATGCAAAAATGCATGGCTCTTCTATTTCGGTTCAGCTTGAGTTGGAGACCTTGGCTGCGAGGTCAATGCCAATGCTGCATAGGTGTGACATGGCGATGTGCAGACGGTTCTGCGACATAGCCCGAAAGGGTAAGGTGCCCGAGCAAAGGATTCACTCGCAAGGCTGTACTTCAGCTTCGTCTCGACCTGGAATTTTTTGTGATGCGTAGAGTAGTCAGAGCCTTTCGCTAGAGCTCCTGTGCAGCATGACTCGCGCCTTCTCTTGCGTATGCCGTAGTGCCTTAAACCGACGTTCGTGGGCCTGCGATGCAGGAACCCAGATTGCCAGCGTAGGCGTAGCCTGTGAGTCGGAGAAAGCCTATTTCGTAGAAAGGGTGGACCCTTCTTCCTGATAGTTTCAGTTTGATGGCCAATGGCAGCCTATCTTGTTGAAGTTTTCACTGAGGGATGTCGTGGCACGAAGGCCCAGAAGGCAAAGCCTGTTTGAACGAGCATCTTCGTGGCGATCTGCCAACAGCTGACAGCCCATGTCGAGCATGTATCGGTCGTCGGTCAGAATTACAACTCAAACTTACTTACGGGCTCTGTCCTATGTGGTCATCGTTATGAAGTTGCAGGTTGCACAATGCACACTCATCTACAGGCTTACTTCCACCCTCGAGCCTGTGCAGGTTATGGTCTATCCGGAGGGCAGGTGTTTTTGTTGCTTAAGACCCAGAAACTGAACGTTGACGTGGAGGACGAGTCCGACCGACTCCAAGAGCATCCGAAGCTTGAAAAAACTTCTCGGATCCTCAGACCTGGCGATGCCAAGAAGCCATGGAATGGAGAGCTCGCTACACATGATGCGCGAAGGCCACGAGGCCGTTTCAGGGGTTTGGGTAATGTAATGCGGACCGGGAGTGTTCAAGCCAAGAGTACATCGTGCTTATAGGGAGTTGGGGATGGCTGGCGGGGCTTGAACACCTCTTCTCCGAACCGAAGGCGCGCCACATCTGCTGCTGGTGGGCAAGGCACAAAATGAGTGGGAGAGACAGGGACGGAGAAGCCTTTGGTGCTCCTGCCGGTAGAGTCGATGCTTTCGGTTCATTCAGCCTATCGGGTTTATTTTTCTGACAGGGCCCCGAAAGGACATGGGATCACAAGTTCTGAGAGCGCTTAGTTTTGCAGTCGAGTTCGACATGAGCTGGTGTTTATTTTCCTTTCAGTCGGCAGAGGGAGAAGAGGGAAGGGACATGGCTTCTTGTGTGTTAAGATTTGTGGGTTTCCGAAAGTTGGGAGTACCTTAATTTGGGGTCCTTATAATAAGGATCCTACTAACTTTTTAGGGTACCATATTAGGGTCCCCCATTTTCGGAAACTCCCATTTGGGGTTTATAGTCGGAGCGTCCTCTGCGCTTTGCGGCGATCCCTCGCTCCGCCTGCAGTCGCCGTTTTAAACATTGATACAAGTTCCGCAAGACCCAAGCCTCCACCACTGAGCCCTTCGACCCAACCCTTTGAGCCCAAGCTTTGAAGTTAGGGACGCCGAAAAAACCACCGGCTTTGAAACGCCCATCATGGCATGGCGCGCGTGGCCCGGCTGCGGCCTCTGTGCTCCAAGATGATTCGGCCATGGATCTTTGTCGCTGCCCGGTCGCAAAGACAAGCTTTGTGAGGCTTCGGTCAGGGATTCGACGTCGGTGAAGTACACTACAGAAGTTAAAGTATTGGGATCCCCAACTTGCCTTCCTGACATGTGGAAGCTTTGACAATAATTCATCCGGAGTACATCGCGGATGCTGCCCTCGTACACCCCACAAGTGTAATGTACTCCATTGGGTGACAATCTTGTTGGTTTGCTTGGTGGGTGCGATCTCTCAACAACCATATGGTCCGAAGTGTTGCATGCTGAGGGCAGGCAGTTTCTGCTTGTGGCTGTGTATCGAGGCTGAACATGTATTGACAACTTCGCAATTGCTGGTCCCACTGGAATGTTTGCGTTGCCCAGAAGGCTTTGCGAGGACAAACATTGCGTACTTAAGTTCAGGGCAAACCAGTTGTCGTGCTTCATTGCGGAGCCAGAGAGTCGGAAACCTCGGATCCCTAAACCCTAAACCCTAAACTCCTAAACCCTAAACCCTAAACGAAAGTCGTCGAACCTACTTCTGCAGACCTTGCCAGGCTTGGTCCGAGAGTGAGTGTCAAAAAACCCTAAACCCGAAGCCTCGGATCCCCATCTTTTTAGTTCCTGTAGCCTCGGATGGCCGGCTGTGCACCTGCCCCGACCAATGGCGTCCAGCTCCTGGCCGCCGACCATCGGACTCATCGACTAGTACTATATATATATATATATATATATACATACATACATACATACTAGTGCTATTACAACAACAACTAATTATTATTATAATAGTAATAATAATAACAATAATAACAATAATCACAATAATAGCCGGTTGAAGCTGCAGACCTGCTGTGGTCGAAGACTAGCCGTGCTCAAGCTGGTCTTGCAGAGCTGAAGCATGATGCAGGCTTTTGGAGTTGAGCTTGAGCCGGGACGGAGTTGCAGAAGAGTGATCCGCTTAGTTAGGGATGGACCTTAATCCTGGCCAACTAACTAACATCCATTCGTTGCTTTGCTTCTGAGCTGCGCCCCTGAAGTTAGAGTAGTTTCGCCCAGATTTGGGCAGACTTGGGCCATGCAGTGCAGACCAACATTAGGGGAATTTCGGACGGATTCGAAGCTTGAAATGCTTTTTGCCACCCATAAACCCTAAACCGTCCGAGAGCTGGGCGGGTGGGAAGAAAACCGTCCGAGTGCGAGCGCCGAAACCCTAAACCGCCGACATGCCAAGGCAGCCTTCGTTCAGATTCGGGTCCAAGGAGCCTGCTTGCCCGATGCCATTGATGCAAGCCAGAGGCGAAACTTGACGCGAGGCAGGTTTGCTGAACACTAATTAGAGGTTTAAGGGTAGTTGTAAGGGGGCTATAAGGCCCCTAATATGGGTTATAAGTTATAAGTTATAAGTATAGTTACCATACTTATAACACTACGTATAACTACCCATGAACCTGCAAGCAAGGCGGCCCCAGCTACCCTGTGAGGTGCTTGTGTATTGAGTAGTCCGAAAACCTTGCCCTAACTCAGCGTGTATGATTCAACTGTAGAGCTAGGCGTCATGGGATCGTATGCCCTTCTGGGGTTGAGACCCCAGAGAAAGCACCGCCCGCTATGAGTTTAGCCCATGTCTCGGTGGCTTACAATTGCAGAGTTCAGACCCTGCTGGGTTCCCGGCAGGTGATGGTGCATCTTATCCGGTGGGCCTGTTTACACTTAATTGGGCAGCCAGTCTCGTGACAACCGGTGTGGCCCACGTCCTCATAGAGGACGGGCGTCAAGGGAAGTTCTCCCCACTCATCTTTCCTTTGCTGAAGCCGACATCTACGCAGTTTCTCACGGAATCATCCAGCTTCTCTATGGGAGGTTTTGAGTCTAGGATTTGCGGAGTGAAGGCTGAAGGCTCGGGGTTGCCCTGGCAGCCCGAGATCTCTCGGATCTTGAGCCCTTATTAGAGGTTCAGGGGTAGTTAAAGTATAGTTACCCTACTTATAACCCTACTTATAACTACCCCTGAACCTCCAAGTTCGTCTCGGAGGGCATGTTCTCGTCCGGAAGGAGCGGATGGGTTACAACGTCCTCGAAACCGGGACTGGCTCTGGGACCATTGAGGGCTTCTACGCCCTGTTCGGATGCCTGCAGCCTCTTGTTTCGTGATTGGTTTGCTTATCGATTTACTTGGTTATGCGCAGTGGGATGTTCAAGACCAGGTGTGGGATGCCTCACCGTGAGGTTGTGTAGAATGCTCCCCCGACACCGGGGCCTCTTCGGAGATCCTTTGCTGGTTGCTAGGCAGCTAGGAGGAAGAGTAGCTTCAACTCCCTTAAAACGATCGAAGCCGAACTGCATCCTATTGTCCTAATCACGGAGCTCTGCATTACAAATTGAGCTCCACTTGTACGAAGCATTTTGACCGCTCTCAGGCCGAACAACATCACCAATCGGGGCTGTGGGCCGTCGGCAGCTGGGCCCAGATGTATAGGCTTTTCCTGAACTTATGGGTTCACTCCGGATGAATCACTCGTATGGTCTTTCGAAGCATGTCGTCTCAGTAGTTGCTCATAATGTCATGGTCTCCTAAATTCATAGCATCAGTTCCCAAAACGTCGAACCTTCCTGTTCAGCGCTGAGGTTACATACAGTCACATCGCATTAGAAGCCTGGCCGGAAACTTATGTCAGCGAATGGGCAGAGGTCATCAAGCAGTGCCTCGGGCTTGCAAGTTGGGTTTTTTTGTGCGTTTTTCGGACGAGTAGTCCAGAATACTGTCACCGTGTACCCACTCTCTCTCTTTCTCTCCCCCGCCCTCCCTCTGCCGTCGTCCGTAAACTTAAATGAGGATGGCTTTATTTTGAGTCGTGGGGTCAGGATTAAGGGTGCGCAGACTGGGCAGAGCTTGGATTCCGCGGCTGCATGCACTGAACCTTACGAGGGAGTTCTGAACAGGAATCCGGCTATGGCACCGGTGATTCTGGGCAGCATGGGTTACGATGGCACCACCGGAATTTTCTTCCCCTCCAGCAGCTTGAACTCGGCCTACTATACAGAGGGCATCGCGCTGGAGTTTTACCGTGGCTGGAACTACTCGTGGAGCCGTGCCGAAAATGTTGCTGTAGACACTTACAGAGGCCTTCGAGGTTAGGAGCTTACTGAGCCACAAAGAGCCCGAAGCAGTGCTTCAGCAGGAGCCAAAGCTGGAAATACTTCGACAGCGTGGCGTCCATCGGCCTGAACCTAGTACTTCCATGTGTGGAGACGCGCTTCCAGATCTCGAAGGTCAATGAGGATTACATCCGCTACACAGGCTATGCCCTCTGAACCCCAGAACCCGTGATTCGGTACCTTGATGTAAGCACTTTCAGTGACATGAAGTTAGTTTAGATTGCCCGACAGTAAAGCTATCTTCAAAGCTCCTCTTCATCCCAGCTTTCATACATTTCGCACAGGCTACAGGGATGAGGGATGACGAGGGATTTGGAGTGTCTTCTGTTGCTCTAGCGTTCCGAGCTTGCGATGTGGCTATGCGGAGGGATCGGGATGCTCGCTCTGATTTGATCTGTTCCCTTGTCCCTCGGACCAGAGTGTAGGTGACATGGATGGCGTGGACGTGCTGCCTAACGGCGATCTTGTTGCAAGGTGTCCAGATGGCCACTTCTGGCCACTTGATCGGGGTGTGAGCTTCGGTCATGTAGGGCTTGTGCTTGGATGTTTTTGGGTTTCGGAGGCAGGTGTGTGGAGGATTCGACGGGTTTTTTCGTAGAATTTGCAGTGGAAGCTCGATGTGCTCATGGTCGCAGCAGAGTGCATCTTTGGACATTCCATGCATTTCGGAGCACAAGGGCCCGAAAACATCATGCGTCGTGCCGGAAAATGCCCCTGCGCCCACGAACATGAACCTGCTCAGGTACAGGACAGACTGGACCGCTTGCTGGGTAAGTCAGGAAAGAAAAAACCCAGCCAAGGGTTTTGATGATGCAGTCGAACCAAGCAAGTCGAAAAGAGCCCGTACATCACTCAGAGTCCGACATGTTGACTCAGGCTTGCACCGGGCTGTCGCGCAGACAGCTCCAAGTGTGTTCCATACGTCACCGGCGGAAGTGGATGGTGGTCGCCGGATGCATGTTTGGCAAGCCTTTGATGTTTCCGGAGATAGCAAGCAAATCTGTGACCCACTTGATGCCGCCGGGTGGAACTACATGACGATATGATGTGGTACTCAAGAAGATGCCACATCGCAAGCTCCGGTCTTTGTGACAACGGAGTGCATGATACGTGAGCATATACTCAGCTGCCTCTAGCATCGAACAACACGAACAAGAACGCCAGTAGGCGAACGGCGCATCGTTACGATCTTGGGCATGCAAAGGGCACCGATGCCTTTTACACCGCAAGAAGCGGGCAAAAAGGAAGCAACGCCCTCGAAGCAGCACGCCAAATCTCAAGTAGTCTGAAGGGTAGATTGCAGTTAATAGCGTCGACAGAAGCAACAGGTCAGCTAAACAGTTGACACCGGCCAAAGAGCTTCTGCCATGTGATGTAGCATGAGTGGAGCGCACATGCAACTGCATCTGCGGTGTCATGATGTAGCGCCAAGCATCCTCACGAGAGACAATGGTATGTGCACTTTAAGCTTGTTTTCTCGGTAGAGATATCATGATTTACGCTCTTTACTGCACGTGCTTTGGCTGGACGGCTACATCAAGGTAGGTGTCCATCCGTTCATGCCGGTTTACTTGGTCCTACTTGCTGCCCAATCCCTAACAACCTGCCAAGGCTAGATGACACCATGCAGAAAGCCACGGCCTACGATATTCCCATGGCTCTTGGAGTAGCAAGAGATCTCGGTGCACTGCCAAAACAGCGGACCACAACCTTCTATGCCTGGGTGCCAGATACATCATTTTTTGAGCTGCAGCCGGCAAGTATCACCTTCCCTCCGAACGATATCAACGCCCACTTGTGCCTGGGCCCACTTGGATAACCGCATTGCAGGCTTGCGAGTGTGTCTCGGAAAGGGATGAGATGTGATCCAACTCAGCGAGCAACGCTGAATGTGCCAGGAACGGAGATAAGAGGACTGCCGCGCCTGACTCCTTGGTTGCGAAGGTCGTGAGCCAGGACCGATCGTGTGCCATGGGTCAACGGAAGCTGAAGGGCTTCGGGCTTCGAGTTATTGAAACATCACACAAGCTGCCGAATCGGCGTTGGGGAAACACCGTGAGAATAGGACAGAGATTGCTGAGAGCAGTGTCACGATTCGCTGCTGCTGTGGCGGCGGCTGCGGCTGCGCCTGCTCCTACTGCTCCTCGTAACACCACGACGACGACGACTACTACTTATACTCCAGCTGCTGCTGCTAGCAGCTGCTGCTGCTAGCACTGCTCCTGCTGCTCTTCTGCTGTTTCTGCGACAACTACAACGGAAACGACGATGACTAGTACTTGTACTAGTGCTAGTGCTTGTGCGAGTGACAATGCGAGAACGAGTGCGAGTGCACTACCACTGCCACTATCATGTGCCGCTGCAGCTGCCCTGTGCTGCTGCTAGGACCAGCACCAGCACTAGCACTACCAATGCCAGTGCAACTACCACACGCACTGCGAGAACCACTGTTGCTGCCCCTGGCACTGCGACTGCCACTACCGCTACTGCTAGCGCTACCCCTACCACCATTAGCACTTCAGTTCCAGCTGCTTTGCGAGGCGCATACACCGGTGGCGTCCAGTACATCTCGAAAAAAACGATAGTTCACCTCGGATTGTGGATTACAGCACTCGTCGAGCACGACAGCGACAGTAGCAAAGTAAGGGCAACAACAAAAGCCAAATTCAGAGGTGCAGCCCGAAAGCTATGCAGGATTTATCCTCCCTGTCGCCGCGGCTGGAAGACTTTTTGCGCAACATGCGCTATAACCTGAAGAATGTGAACGACATGATGGGGGACTTGCTCAAGACGGGAGACTCCCACCGTGATGTGGCTTGAACTGCACCATGACAGGTTTCACATGCGGTGATGGCAGGCAGACACCCGAAACTACGTAGTATCTAACAAATCTGGGAACTCTACCTGTAATTCCTGAAGGTGGCCTGCCGATGGCTTTTGGACAACCGTGGTGTTTGGGAAAGCTGGCTGCCGGACGAAACGAAATGCTTCCCGGGCTTTGGCTTGCACCACGGGCCGGACTTGAGCGCTCGCTCTTTTGCAGTTGGTTGTTCTTGCTTATGTCAATAACGACTATTGCCGATAGTTCAGGATTCGCAACTGCAACAACGGGCAACGGTTTTGACACGGCACCGCTAGCAGTGCCTTCCATGCTACAAAATTTTCCGAAGCTTGCTGTTGCTACATGTTGCAACTACGTGCCACTGGTGCTACTTTTTTCCCATGCTTCCTTCAAATCGCATTCCCATTGCTCATGCTGCTGCTTGCTACTTCTACTCCTGTTGCCGCTGCCGCGCCCAGTGAAGATGCCACTTCATATTCACCACTGCGACGACAACTGCTTGTGCATCTCTCTACTGCCACCACCACCACCACCACCACGACGACGACGTTTACTACTACTACTGCGGCTACCACGACGACGACGACTCTACTACTGCTGCTGCTGCTGACACTACCACTACTACTACTACTACTACTACTAGTGCTAGTGCATGTGGGTGACACAAAAAGTAGTGCTAGAGCTAGTGCTAGTGCTGGTGTTAGTAGTGCTACTCCTCCTGCTGCAGCTGCTGCTACCACTACCACGACTACTCGGACTACTACAACTACTCCTGCTAGCGTAGTAGTAATAATGCTACTACTACTGCTGGTGCCATCATCGCTCTTTCTGTATCTCTTTCCCTCTTTCTCTTGCTCTCCCTGTCAGCAGTTATGACTGGCGCCCAGGTATGACACGAACTTGTCGGATTTCATAAGCAACAGGGACAACCCCACATTCTTGGAATGTCGTGCCTGCGAGTCTGGGAGATTCTCCTCCCGCCTGGACGATGTCAGGGGCATCTCGGTCGTGTTCCAGGGTTTAGGGTTTAGGGTTTTTGGCTGCGAGTTTCGTGGGCGCTGGCCGGCACCTCAGTCTGTGCTGAAAAAGGGTTTTTGGCTCCGTTCAGGGCAGTTTAGTAGTTTGCATTTAAGCAACATGAGGGTCGGGCCTTAAAACCGTCATCAGCATTCAACCCAGTTCTGAACATCAGCGAGCCTTCTCAGCAAGACGACTGGTCGAACACCTGGCCGGTTAGTCTGTAATCACGACGACAAGCAGCAACAAACCAAATCCACAACGACGACGTTAGCCGGCACAAGAATGTAGATTCGTACAGTAGCAGCCAGTTTCGCACAAGCACAAGTAGTGGCACCATCGGTACTACTTCGAAGGTATCCGCAACAACGGGAAACTGCTATTTCTACTGCTTGGCACCACTACGGTGGTCACGCTCGTGAAGCCGGCCAGGAAACCGAGTTTCTTGATGAAACGCAAAGGCGAGCACCAGCCCGGTAAAGAAGACCAGTATTCCTAGCCCAAAACATCTTCCTGCCCAAGGTTTCACCTACGAGTGCAAGCGCTGTGCACCCGGCACAAGCCAGCCGTCCGGTGCAGCCTTGCAGTGCGAGAAGTGCAACCCAGGCAACTCTCCCTGTTAAGAGACGCAAGCAGCGACGTCGTTTTCGGTTTGCTGGCCTCGGGATTTCCTGCACTGCACCACGCCTCAAACCCTCGACAGAGACCCCAGGTTCCTAAGCCTGTCAGGCTCAAGCTCCCTACAGGCCCACACGCCCCGCGGCAGAAAACCCTGAATTCCCAAACCGCCCAATCCAAGCCAAGAAGGGCGGCTTCATCATCTGCACAGAGAAGCTGGATGAATTCTTGTCTAGATCTATTGCCCTTTCTCCTGTGATTTCCTGCGGAACAAGCTGCCAAGAGGTGAGTATCAGAGCGAGGTGGGCAAGCAGGCCTGCAATCGCTGCGAGATCGGCTACTACCAGGATGAGCCCGGGTCGCCTCTTTGCGTCGTCTGCCCCAGCGGCACAACTTTGGGCCTCGGTTCAGTCTCTTTGGCAGACTGTGGGTGTGAGGCTGGCTTCATTGATCAGGCCGGTACTTCGATCAACCGTATAAGATTTGACGCCGAGCCAAGTAGCAACCAACAGCACGCACAGCAGCCGTGGTCGTAGTCGCAGGTCTAGCTGCAGTCGTTCGTAGACGTTTCGCAGTCGTGCAGCAGCAGCAGTAGCAGCAGTAGCAGCAGTGTTGCAGCAGCAGTAGGGGCAAGGGAAGTAGGACTAGGAGTAGAAAGTAGTTGCAGGATTCAGGATGAGGAGTAGGGGCCTGAGCTCTAGCTCGAGGGACAACAACAGCGCAGCTGCAACCTGAGCAATAGACTCGGTCTCGGGGGACAGGATAAATTTTGCACATCGTGTCGTGAGAAGCGGGGGCCAACTTCAGCTTTCAGGCTGGCGACGGCAATTTGAGTTGCCTGCCTTGTGGCCCGGGCCTCGACTGCCCAGCTTTGGGCTCCCTGACGAGCTTGGAGTCGGGCAGTTCTCCACTGGGGATCAACTTCGTGCCCAAAGTGAAGAAGGACGCTCGGAGCATGAAGTGCCATGGTGCCATGGTGGCGTAGTAGAAGGAGCAGCAGCTGGAGGAGTTGTAGCAGTGGTAGCGGTGGTGCTAGTAGAACGAGGAGGAGAGGAGTAGTGGTCCCTGCTGTCTTAGCAGTAGGAGCAGGAGCAGCAGTAACAGCAGCACCAGCTGCAGCGGCAGTAGCACTAGCATCAGTAAAAGCATTAGCTTGGCTATCGTCAGCAGTAGTAGTAGTAGTAGTCGTGGTCGTAGTCGTCGTCGTAGTCAGTAGTAGACGTCGTCCTAGTAGCAGCAAGCAGGAGCAGCAGTAGTAGCAGCAGTAGTGGTGACAGTGGCAGTGGCAGTGGTAGTGGTAGCCGTAGTGGTAGTGACAGCGTCAGTGGCAGTGGTAGTGGTAGTGATAGTGGCAGCAGCAGTATCATCATTAGCATGATTAGAGGCAGTCGTGGTGGGGATGGTGGTAGTGCTTGGAGCAGCACCAGCGCCAGTGCCAATGCCAGTGGTGCTAGTCGTAGTCGTTGTCTCGGAAGTCACTAAAAGCATCACTAGCTACATCCTAAGCGCTAATCCTCTAAGCACTACCATACCAGCCTCCATCGTCATCATGCTCATCATCATCGTCATCTTCTTCAACTGCAGAATCACCATCGTCATCACTTTCCAGTGGTCTTCAACATTATCGGAACCCTTCTAGTCATTCTAGTCACCACCATCTTCAAAAGCACCGCAGTCATCTCCACCCTCGTCATCCTCACATATCATAACGAGAAGCAGCAGTAGTAGTGGCAGGTCCGCCATGACAAGATTTCGAAGCAGATCGAATCAGAGCATCACGAGCAGCAACAGGATCGGAGTAAACATCTTGGCAACTCAAACTTCGGGAGGTGAAAAGTACATTCTCTAGCTGTACCCAGCATGACTCCTCGTGCATTGGCATGCTAGAAAGCTCACGTTTCGAGAACTGCGGAGACATTGGGTGGGTTCCGGGTTAGCACTCTCAAAACATCCGATGCATCAGGATTCGCATTAAGACCCCCATGAAGAACCAAGAGTCTCTTGCTCAGGGCCCCCACGTATTTAGAATTCCCCAGCCTCGGAGGATTTCTATAGCTCGCCGGAGAATCCGTTGATGCTGTTCCGGTGCTTGGGAGCCGGACGCTGTCCGGGCGGCAGGCCGGGAAGCTGTGCAGGCGGACTCCAATACCGGGCTTGCACCGAGTGTCCCTTGGCTTCATTGCTTTACGATTTGTCCATGTGAAATTCTATCTATCCTACGTACCTATTTACCTGGACTCACCGCTGAAAGCTCAAATACTTGACCCCCATCTCCGAAGCCTTTTTTCTGTGAACTCCTTGCTAGGTAGCAGGGAAAGACCCCTAAATCCTAAACCGGTGGACTATGTGGAGCTTTGCCTGCCCTGTACGAGTGTGATCCGGAGGCCCCCAGGGCCAGGTCTTCAGCACCGACAGCTGCCAGAACTGCACCGTCTGGCAGCAAGCTGGCTGGGTTCTGTGCTTGCTGCTGTGCCTTGGGCCCGATCAGTAGTCGATTCAGCTCAGGGTTCAGTTTAGTTCATCGGTGGCAGCATGGAGCAAAAGGGCTTGCAGGATCCTTCCGGCAGGTTGCCATTTGCAGAAGCATACGTGCTAAGCCCTTGGTCCGAAAGCCGTGGAGCTCAACTTAAAAGCATCCGCTGAAGGGTCGAGCTGAACCCAAGTGCGAGTGGCGAGTATTGAAACCTGACCGTCGCACAGAGCAAATCCGAGTGCTTAAACAGGTGGAAGTGTTTCAATAGATGCAACAACAACCGTCTCATACCGATACAACAGTGACTTTCTGGGAGGAATAGCGTGCTGCACCTTGACTGAGGATTTTTCTGGGCTTGGTTGTGGCCTACTACATGCTCACCTTGCAAAGTACAGCGAAGGCCCTGGCTTGTAGCGCTTCCAACGTTGAAGCTCTTGCTCTTCTTGTGGCTGGTGTTTCTGTACTTCTCCGTATATATCTGCCAGATCCTTTATTGAGGATTACGGGTTTTGGTGGCGAGGTCATTTTGGCCATGACCAGGAGGGGCCACAGCAGAAAGGACAACGCAGTCATCGACTTGACTAAGGGCTCGGGGGTTGGTAGTGCGGGGCTTTGCGAGCGGGTTTCAGGAGCTATGCAGGGGGAGGGTAGAGATCTCATGTACGGTCAGACCCTCCAGCGACCGAGCGGAGAACATCAAACTGGCAAATTCAACAAGCAAGGAGTTTTATGACCTAAGCCTGACACTTAAAGGCTCGCCGCAGCAGAAGTACCAGTACCCTAAACTCTATCGACCTCATGAACCCGTGCCTGCCGGCGTGCGATTGTGCGAGTCGAAACTCTGACATCTAACCGAAGACCCTTGTTGCTTGTTCCACGGGGCTAGCTGCGATCCATGAACTTCATCTGGCAGAGTACGAGTGTCAAAGGGTACGTTCGCTGGATGATAGCACCTTTGCACATTGGATGGGGAACAACGCAACAAAGGAACCCCAAGGCGGTATCTCGAACCAGAGTCGAGATGAATCCTGCTGTATATAGGGATCGGCGTCATGAGTAATAGGTCCCAAGGATAATTATCTAAACATCTACCCACAGTCTACCCCCCGAGGCCTTAATTTTAATTAGTCTGAGTCCTATTTCTCATAGCCAGTCTCTTAGCCGCAAAGCCGCGTCAGGCCTCGGTGCTCTTCACGACAGCATGTGCTTTCGGCCTTACCATCTCCTCCTTACAGAGCCTTGGCAAAGAGGATTCTACGGTATGGATTTGGGGACTAGGCCAGGCTTTTTGTTTAGGTTTGAGGGTTTGGGGTTTGGGATTTAGGGACTTGCCTGGGTTCAAAAAAGGGACTTGGGCAAGTAAGGCTTGGTGACTGTGGTGTTGGGTTTTCAGGATTCTGCCTTAGGCTTTGCGGGCTGCGAGCAGGGATGGCGAAGACGGCAGAAGCTAGGCCTTTGAGACTCTGGGAAATGCGAAACTGGGGCAGGGTCTAGCGTGACTTGGGTTCACTGTCGAGCTCGCGTTGTGTTTGGCTGGTCCCGTAAATTCAGAAGCGACGCCCGCCCAAAAGGCGAGATGCCGAGCCCCCATAAAGGGGAAACAGCAGACGTTGGACCTCGTCTCCGACCGAATAACGACTCGACGAAGAGCTGACCAGGAGTTGCAACGAGCCACAGCACACACCTCTTGTGGTAGTTGGGCAAGTGCTGTTACCAGATGCCGGAGAGGGCGATGGTGAAGGGCAGGGTGTTTGCCGGGTCGCACTGTGAAGGTGCAACATGGCAATGCTTCCGATTGCGGCTGAACCACCTGCTGAGGGACCCTCGAGGTGGTAGTTGCTGAGGGTGCACTGAAAGCCCCTAAATAGCCCCAAAGCAGCGCGGAAGGCCCCAAAAGCCCCGCAAGCCCAGGAGTGTTGGGATCGTGGGGATGATGACGGTGGACTTCCCAGTCGAGCTGAGGCCAGCGGTTCAGGGAGTTCAGAAATATTGAAGTTTCCGAAAATTAGGGGTAGCTTCTGTCAGGGTCCTTAGAATAAGGATCCTACTATTCACTATTGTCGGAAACTCCCATATCGGGTTGGGGGGTTCAGGTGTTCTGCAGGGTCTAGCTCAAGGGGCTCAGGACTCAGAGGATTTAAGACTATTTAAGACCTCAGGGTTGAAAGACAGTGAAAGAGCTACACGGATTGTTGTGTTCTGCCGATTCGGTGCCTTTGGGGATGCAGGGTGGCAGCCCGGGTTCAGATGGCCTTTCCGGTGTGGTGTGGCGGTGTTGCAAAAATGCAGGCACTACCTTCAAGGTTTTGGGAAAGGCCTCGTGCGGAGCCTCACTTTGCATCTGAAGTTTCAGGCTCTTCAAATCCGGGATCTCAGCAAAAAGCCCGCAAGTGCATGCTACAGATGGGTTTCCAGCATCAGGTGAAGCACTTGCATGAGAACACTCTTTGCCCATCTGTGCTGTGCATGTGCAAGCTCTGCACCCTGAACCTACATTCCTTATAAGGGGTCTTAACAACAGGCCCATCTTCGACCTCTTGCAAGTCTTCGTGCTGGACATCGACAGCTTGGCATTCAGTTGCATCGCTGGAAACTCTGCTCCCGCCCGATACACCTCTTCAGCTTCTCGTCTGGTGTTCAGCAGGCATCCATCAAAGCAACGTTTTGGCACATTCTGGCCCATTAGAGCGCCAAGCCCAAGAAGTTTGCAGGATACCTTGCGGCTATGGATGCAAGAGAGCTCTTCCTTACAGTCCGCTGCAGCAACACCTTCAGCCTAGATTATCAAAGCGTCCTACCTTGACTTATGGATTGCGGTCATTGTTCCTGAGATTCCTGTCGAGTCCTTCAGGTTCTTTTCTTCCCCGCCATGGTCCTGTGGCTCGTGGTGTGTTCGTTTGCGTCTCGCTGGCTGCCCTCCGAGTTTCGGTGGGAAAGAAGCAAGACCTGCAGCGTAATCGGAGCTTTGCTGCAGGTGGGCTTCAGCTCCCTGGGTGGTGTTGAGCACGATTCTGAGTCTTCTTTAACGAGATTCTCATACCTTGCAACAATCTCAGAAGCCGTGTTCAGATTAGAGGCAAATAGTCGCTTTGCAATATTTGCAAGAACTGCATCGCCTCCCCTGGATGGATGAAGGCACTATGAGCTCGATATCCATGGCGCCCCTGATGTGCTTCAGTCACCCGAACGGCGTGCACAGCCTCCTCAAGTATCCTAGCGTTACGTGTGGCACCGCTGACCACGCCATCATGCTGGCGACTTGGTTTGGCAAACATGCTGCGTTGATCTCGTAATGGAATGATGCTGAAGAGTGATTTCCAACAACAGGCCACAATGCAGTTTCGAACATGCGGGGCCGCCGTAGCTTCAATTCCGTTTGATCGTGCAGTACCAGCAGAACGCTCGAACAAGCCTGCTGTCGGGCAGCTTCAACACATGTTGCAGCTGCCAGGCTCTCCTGCCTTCCACCGTTCATGCAAGCGCTCCTCGTTCCAGTCTTCCCTTTGTCTTGTTTCGGGCCTGTCTTGCAACCGATACCAAAGAGATGTTTGCACTAGCAGGTCGTTACATCATTTTTTCGTTCTGAAACTGTTTCCGACTGCAACGACTGGGACCACTTCCCCCACTCCTACTAGTTCTAGCTTCTCCTCCTGCTACTACTGCTCGTAGTAGTAGCAGTAGTACTAGTAGTGGTAGTTGTTGTCGTCGTAGTAGTAGTAGTAGTGGTAGTGGTAGTAGGCGACTTCGAACACGACTGCGACTTCGAACACGACTACGGTTTCGGGCCGCGGCGACGACTACATCTACGGTACAGCTATGACGACGACGACTGCTACTGCTCCTCCTGTTCCTCCTCCTGCTACTGCTGCTACTACTATAGTTACTACGAGGACTAATGACTAATGGTACCGGTACGACTGCTACTGCGACTGCCATCGCCACGGCCACTACTACTCCTACTGCTGCTGCTGCTGCTGCAACCGCTGCTGCTAGTGCTCCTGCTGCATCCGGCTGCTGCTCCTGCTGCTTCTCCCACTACTGCTACTGCTACTGCTACTTTGGCGGCAACGACGGCGACGGCTACGACGACGACTACTACTGCTCCCCTCCTCCGAGTCATAGTCATATAGGCAGTGCTGATAGCATGCGTGTGACAACTAGACATGGGCTCACCAAGTCTGCTCTTTTTCAGGCGATGGGCCTCTTGCTCTTGATCGTTGGGGTGTTGGGCTTTCTGGCCCTGTGCACCTATGCAGTGGTCCTTTCACCAAGGCCGGGGGGGAGTCTGATGGGTTTGGGGTAGTGATGTATGGGGCTGCTGACTGCTGGTCCTGCCTGGGGGGTGGGGGTCCAAGACCCCCGAAAGACTTCAGAATTCCCTCCATGTCAGACTGTTGCCCAGAATACAGCATTTGTAGCGGAAAAGCGAGTGGCATAGTTCGCCCATGGTGTGTCAGCCCGTTGGAACTACAAGGCTAGAGTCTGGGGGGGCTTCGTATCCCAAAGTTGCAATTTGTCGCCATGACTTGATCTGCTGTGCACCCCACGTGTCCCCCCCCACACCAACACCTCATGCGGACGAGATTATCCAGGGACCTTGGCTGAGGTGGAGCGCCCAGGGGCACCACACAAAGGTCAGGGCCTTCCGATTCCTGCTCTTCCGCTTCCGACTGGACAGTTGGTGGTTCGGGGTGCCGTTGCTGATCCGCGGCCCGCTGCTGTCACTTCCCATCGCGCTGGCCACTGACTATCCGCCCATTCAAGCTCCTCAGAGGTGAAGTCGATCGAGTGAGTAACGGTAACGCCAAAGGAAATTGCAGCTTTCAGAACAAGGGTCACCGATGGTCGGCTGAGGTTATGGCCATGTCGAGCGTCTTCATAGTCTTCCTGGCACTGGAGTGCCGTGCGTGGCCCTGGAAGGTTCCCCTCTTAAACGTCATGGACGCACTGCTCTGCCTGATCATGACGCTGCTTGTGGGCTCCACCTCGCTTCATCTCGGACCCATTGAGGGCGAAATGAAGGACTGCAAAGGGGACCTCGGATTTTGCACAAATTTTGGTTCACCCAACTTAGGAACACGCGGTGAGGCGTGAGACTTTGGGATTTCAGGAAGTGTCATGACTCTTGGAGGCCCGGGCACTTATTGTTCTGCTTGCCGATCGTCCTAGTTGTAACCTGTTGATGATACTGATATGGTTGACGTGCTTGCAGCAGTAGCATAGCTGTTCTGTTGCTGCGAGCGTTGCCTTCCTCTAGCGGTATAAGCGTGCCTACATTGCCTAGATACAAAACTAGTGAGTTCCTAGCCTCAATCTGTTTCATGTAAGCAAAATAGAGAGCCCACCGTCGTATGGCCCGCTAACCCTTGAAAGGACTTTGCCAGCATCCTGGCCTCAGTTCTCATGGGATGCCTTGGCCTTGCGATGGCTTCGCTCCTCTTCATGACTGTGTCTGCTCTCGTCTATCGAGCAGCGCTGGGTGTCTAGGCTCAGACTGGTGAGTTTTCACCTCGGTGGAACCAATCATTGCAAGGTCCTGTCCATGAACACAGCTGAAAATCCTATGATTTTATCCTAACTGACGCCATCTGCCCCGTGAGACTGTGTGGAGCCCGGCACCTCGACGAAGGTGGGCAGCAAGAGCTCGTTTTCTTCAACTTGCACAAGCAGCCCTCTTCGGCAGAGGTGTCGGAGCGGCTGAAAGCCTCGGCTGCCCGGATACGGAGCATGGAGGATCTTCCGTCATGATGATACATTGCAGCTTTAACGTAACAGGAGCAGAGCAGCAGCACGAGCAGGAGCAAGAGTCGTAGTAAGTAGCAGGAGCAGCCGCAGGAGTAGTAGTATAGTCAGTATATAGTGGTGGAAGTAGTAGTAGTAGTAGTAGTAGTAGTAGTAGTAGTAGTAGTAGTAGTAGTAGTAGTAGCAGTAGCAGTAGCAGTAGCAGTAGCAGTAGCACTAGTAGCAGCAGCAGTAGCAGTAGCAGTAGCAGTGGCGGTGGCAGTAGCAGTAGCAGTAGCAGTAGCAGTAGCAGTAGCAGTAGCAATAGGAGTAGGAGTAGTAGTAGTAGTAGTAGTAGTAGGAGGAGGAGGAGGAGGAGGAGGAGGAGTTAAAGTGGTAGGTGGTAGTGGTAGCAGGATTGCCAGCAGCAGTTTCTTTTGTGGCAGTGCTTCAGTGTTGTTTCGCACCAGTAGCTTTCCTAGACGTTGCACCGCTGGGAGGAGTCCGATCTTTTGCAGGCGGTAGGGCTGCTGTCGGTCTACGACCTGGGACTCGTGGTGTCCTACATGTCGATGGCACATTCTGAGATCCTTGCATAGGTTGGTTCCTTTTGAGCTGGGGTGGAGCTTGACGGTAGATGCCTGGGTTTCGTGTGTGCAGGTTATGATGCTTCCCGGATTGGGACCCGGAAGTTTACCGCAGAATTGCTTTTTGTAAGGTCTGGCAATTGAGCTACAGGCACTGTTCAGCCTGGAGTTGGATGGTTATGCCAACCCCGAGCCCCAAACCCGCAGATCTGATCAGGAGGTCATGTAGTAGGGCTTCCCAAAAGATCGTGCATGGATCTATGTGTAAGGCAAGGCTGATTGTCTTGGGCCCCTCTTGTTTCTGAGACGTCTGCATGGAAGGCTTCAGCTTCTCCCGGCCGCTTGAAAAGTAGGCAGGAGCATAACTACCACCATAGTCGGTGTGCACATGAGGTTACATCCTCTAAAGCTGACGTCCTTGCCAGTTTCCCAGTTTCCCGCGATTTGTGGAAAGGATCGCAGCAACAGAAGCGGGCGACGAGTTGCAGATGCACCGTATCTGCTCGCATTCCTTCGCGCCTCCGAAACCCAAGCTCAGGAAGGCAGATGCAGGGATATGAAAACAAGTGACAGTCTCTTTAAGCAGGTCGGGCACACATGCGCATATGCGCTCGCGCGTGAAGAAAGGACACACACACACACACACACACGCACACAAACACAAACACACACACACAGACACACACACAGACACACACACACACACACACACACACACACACACACAGAGACACACGCACAGACACACACAGAGACACACGCACAGACAGACACAGACAGACACAGACAGACACAGACAGACACAGACAGGCAAAGACAGACACAGACAGGCAAAGACAGACACAGACAGACACAGACAGACACAGACAGACACAGACAGACGCACACAGACACAGACAGACACAGACAGACGCAGACAGACACGCAGACGCGCACAGACGCACACAGACGCACACAGACGCACACAGACGCACACAGACGCACACAGACGCACACAGACGCACACAGACGCACACAGACGCACACAGACGCACACAGACGCACACAGACGCACACAGACGCACACAGACGCACACAGACGCACACAGACGCGCACAGACGCGCACAGACGCACACAGACGCACACAGACGCACACAGACGCACACAGACGCGCACAGACGCGCACAGACGCGCACAGACGCGCACAGACGCACACAGACGGCACACAGACGCACACAGACGCACACAGACGCACACAGACGCATACAGACGCGCACAGACGCGCACAGACGCGCACAGACGCGCACAGACGCGCACAGACTCACACAGACGCACACAGACGCACACAGACGCACACAGACGCACACAGACGCGCACAGACGCGCACAGACGCGCACAGACGGGCACAGACGCGCACAGACGCGCACAGACACGCACAGACACGCACAGACACGCACAGACATGCACAGACACGCACAGACACGCACAGACACGCACAGACACGCACAGACACACACAGACACGCACAGACACGCACAGACACGCACAGACACGCACAGACACGCACAGACACGCACAGACAAACACAGACAGACACAGACAGACACAGACAGACACAGACAGACACACACACAGACACACACAGACACACACAGACACACACAGACACACACACACAGACACACACACACAGACACACACACAGACACACACACAGACACACACACAGACACACACACAGACACACACAGACACACAGACACACAGCCGCACACACTTCAGCACATCCATCCATCCATCCATCCCTCCCGCCATCTATGCACACATACATGCATAGATATGTTAGCGGGAGAAATGTACCACTAGTAGTGGGGGCAGTTGTCGTCGTCGCAGTCGTGGTCGTCGTCGTAGTCGTAGCAGAAGAAGTAGTAGCAGGAGTGGTAGTAGTAGTCGTCGTAGTAGTAGCAGTAGCAGCAGTACTAGTAGTAGGAACTAGTAGGAGGAACGCCAGCAGCAGCAGCAGCAGCAGGAGAAGGAGAAGGATAAGGGGAGTAGGAGTAGGAGCAGGAGTAGGAGTAGGAGTCGCAGTAGCAGTAGAAGCAGCATCAGTAGCAGTAGCAGTAGAAGTAGCGGTAGCAGTAGCAGTCGTAGTAGTACGGATAGATAGATGGGCAGGTAGAACTTCCAAACAGTGCATAGTTTTACATGTGGTGGCTGCAGTCCCTAGATCGATGTATTCGTTTACGCGCATGCACACGGATGTTCCAACAGAAGCCCTCTATGTTAGAGACATGTTACAGCATCTGAGTGAAGAACACGTCTGAAGAACACGTCCTAGAAATTTTAGGTTAAAAAACAACCCTAAACCCCAAACACTAACCCCTACCTACCAAGCCCGGAGCTCCCAGATGAAGAAGCCCTCTGACTTGGGACGACGCCTGCGCTTGACTGTGCAGAGACTGACGGCGGAGATGGACACGGGAAGACCAAGCCTTCTCCAGGTGGGCTCGGAGGTCAGGGTTGAAGGTTTGGAATTGAGGCATTGCCGAGTTCTTGAGACTGAGAGGGGTGCAGCTGGGCTTCTATTGGCTTCCTGGGAGCCCTAGTGGCATCGCTCGCGGTGATGTGAGCGCCTGAAGGTTCACGGCTTATTCAGGGCCGGCTCTAAAAAATGGCATTGTAAGGGCTTTCCTTGCTGAGGTGTGAGTCGTCTAGCTGAAGAGAGGAACTGCGCCACAGGACGAGCTGCCCTCCGAGGATGGCATGGGTGCTTCCTTCAGTAACCGACTTGAGGCTGCAGCGGACAACGACCTCAAGGATTTACTTCCTGAAGCTTTGGGCGGGCAGGGAAGTGCGGCGAGGGCTCAGGATTTACGTTCGTGTCAGACACGGGTTTTGGTCTTACCGAGTCTTCGCTTGCAGCTGCTGCGTCAGGAGCACAGCTGACGTTCGGGGAGCCTCTTAAGTGCATGCCATCACCGATCTCAGCAGAAGATGCTACGCACACACTTCCGAGTTGAGGGCTTGGGATCAGCCACCGAGAGCCGTCCATATGGATTTACCGGCAGGACTTGGGCCCGAAGCCAAAAGAGCTGGAGCGCCTGGGAAGGTGTTCAGCACCTGCTCTAGTTTCTTTATCTTATCGAACATCTTACAGGTCCTCATGGGCTTGTTCCCTCCCCCCCCCCCCTATGCCCCCCCTCCCCCGCCCGGCACCCTCAGCAAGTCTTATTGAGGTTTAGCATTTCCCACTTACGAGTCTTGTTCAGCAGACCCTCCGCCCCCTCCACCGGGCAAGCCAACAGCATGCAAGGCCGCAGCAAAGCCTCAGCGAGGCCTTAGCAAGGCCCTAGCAAGGCCTCAGCGACCCTGTCAGAACCTCCCGCGGCCCGTCAGGGCCGTGGCAGGCTTCTGTCAAGGTTACGCAAACCAAGGTCGAGGCCCTACCGAGCTTCTAATGAGACGCAAACCTTGGCAAGACCTTGGCAAGTACTTGCTAAAGCTTTCCTAGGGGGTTGACAGGGGGAGGGGGGGCATAGGGGGGGGAGCAAAGCTGTCCATGAGGTCCAGGTTTTGATGTCCCCAGAACACGCCAAAAGACTTCCATAATCCCAGGCCCCAGAACGCCCAAGTCTCTTCAGGTCCGTCTGCGATTCGGAATCGTCCGGGGTCCCCGAAGATCTGCCGGCACGTCTCCCTGCTCCTCGCTGTGATTAGGAGAGCCCTCTTTCGCGATTCTCTGAGTGACGCTGTGGCACAGAACACTAGAATCTTGTGTAATAATTGAACCGAGCCATTCCTTCAAGCAGCCCGAGGCAGCCAACTCGAGCTGTGCACTGCCAGACAAACGAAGCAGCTGGGTCTGAGAGACAGTAGGGAGACAATTTTAAGGATTGAGGTGCTCTCTTCGGCTTACAGGTTCCGACGCCTTCCCGATTATCTTACACCCACCTTTTAGTCAAAGCTCCCGTGAGGTCCATGCCACAACTCAACCTCTACTCATCGTGCCTTAACCCCAAGTTACCGGAATTGCGAAGCGTGCTCTTCCCAAAATGGGAACTACGGATGTACCGCGGAAAAGCCGGCTCAGTGTTGGCTGGCGGTCCAAATCCTATCCAGCACGATACGAGTCCGCCCACGTGGCGAGTCCAAGCCTCACTGTCGATGTGTCGATGCCCGGTGGACTATGAGAAAGGGGCCCTTGTAACCTACAGTCGCCACAATGCCAGCCGTCCCTGCTTTGTCAGTTGCTTATGAGAATCGGATAAGATAGGATCCAGTTGTTCCACAGGGCCGCTTTGGAGGTTCTTGCCAAACAGTGATTTCGACGGTCAGTTTCTCCGACACGTGGCCAAGCCTCTGTTCGGAGACAGCCGGTGACGGGCTGAGGTCAGCTATAGCCTCTAGTAGCTCTGAGAACCCCAGAATCGAATAGGTGAACTCGTGGACATCGCTGTGGTCATAAATGGCTGCATCGTTGTCACACAGACAGACGGACGGACAGGCACGCAGGTAGAGATAGACAAAGATGCAGACGGACACAGACACAGACACGACACACACACACACTCTCTCTGTGGGTGTCTGTTTGACTGTCTCCGTGACTGACTGCTCTCGCTCTCTCGCTCTCTGGCTCTCTCGCTCTCTCTC